TTTCCGTAAATTTGCAAAGTTTTACGGAAATTTTTTAAAAGTGTTTTTTATATAAAATACAACGTATAACACATTTAAATAAATTTTTAAGAAAAAAACATAATTTTTAGAAAAAAATTAAAAAATAAAATTTCCGTAAAACTTTGCAAATTTACGGAAAAATGTACTGCCCGACCCTAAGCTGATCGGCGTTTAGGTCGACCCAACTACCGCCTAGGCAGGCCGGGCACCCCGGGCACCACGGGCACCCCGGGCGTTTCATCCTCCACCCATTTTTATATTATGTGTTTGTATTTAAAACATAAATTACATGTAATTAATGAACAATTTGTACAAAGAATAATAAGCGGGCAAAAATCTAGACCATATTTTATAAATCAAAACATACGATTGTTGTTTGCGATATACAAAGAAATTAATGAATATAACGCAACTTATTGGTCAAAATATTTGCTTATTACTTGGTTAATATTGGGCACAGCTATTACATTTGCTTTGTACATGTTAATTTTTCAATCCAACAGTATGGACATATTTTCCAAGTTACTTATAGCAAGTGCTGTTATAACACCAAGTTTACTATTTGTTAGTATTTTATTTATCGCGTCCAGTGTTAATAGTGAAGTTACATCATCTATAAGTTTATTGTACAGCGCGAATTTGAGCATTAATTGTCCAGGTCCATTTAGTTGTGGTACAAGGTGTCGTATTAAGGTAAATTAGTGACTTATTTTAATTAGTTTGGGTTAATTTTATTATTATTATTATTATTCAGCTAGATTCTCTAATTGGATATTTAACTGCTAATTACGTTGGATTTACCTGTTGGAAATTGTTTCGGATTAATTATTTTAAATGCTACGAGGTAAAAATTTACATTATTTGCTTATTTTGAGCAATAGTAATTTTTATTTTATTATTAATTAATCAATTAATAGTTAATTATTTGTTTATTTTTATTTTAATAGATAATTAGCGTATTTGTGATGCTATTTTTAAAATTGTTGGACATTTAACTAAGAATGTAATTAACATTTAATAATAATAACTGTGTAACACATATTTTTCAATTAAAACAAATTATTTTACACATACAATATAAATTACTTAAAACATATTGATATTATTATTTATAATGTATATAAATTGATTTATACTAAATATCATAATCAATTCTAAATATTGTGTAAAATATAAAAGATTATAATCCAATAATTACTGTGCAATATAATAAACTAATGTATAAATTACACCTTTCAATATTATGCGTATTTATATTTTATGGCAATTGTTCAATTAGTAAGTAATATTATTGAATAATAAATAACATCATTAACATTTATATAAAACAAACATAGTGTATTATATTATATAATTTAACTGTAATAGTAATTAAACTAATAGTAATAAGTTATTAGTTATAATAATAACTAAGTTAATAACGGCAACAGAAACGACGGTCGAAGTGCCGGTATATGTGTTGATGGGAACGTGCGGTTCGGGTAAAACCACGTACGCCGAGGCACTGGTCAAAGAGTTTGGCTGTCATTACATAGAAGGCGATCGCTTTCACCCGACGGCTAACATTCGTAAAATGTCGGCCGGAATACCGCTGACCGACGGCGACCGGTGGGGATGGCTCGCAGTTATACGCGACACTTACGTGCAAAAGGCATCAGATTTAGTGGCACAGGGGCTGAGCGGCACCCGTGGCATCATAATAGTCACCTGTTCTGCGCTGCGGTTAGTTTACAGGGATTTACTCCGAGATGTGCCCAACGGGTCGTGTCGTGTGGTGTTTGTCTACTTGAAGGGCTCCTACGAGTTGCTCGACTCCCGACTGAAGGCCCGAAGCGGTCACTTTATGGCATCAAATATGTTGATAAGTCAGTGGACAACACTGGAAGAGCCCGATTCCCGACGGGAAGACGTTATTATTAGCGCCGATACCGACACTATTGTTAAGAATCTAATCAAAGAGATTAATAAACAATTGAATGTTTAAAATGAGTTGTTGTGCGAAATATTTTATAAAATGCCAAAAAACTCGTGTATTTATTTAAAACTCAGTTAATTATTATCGTTTATAATATAAATATTTTAATAATAAAACAATTAAGCAATAATATATTTAAAAATCACCTAGATAAACAACCCAATGTGTGCCAGACAAAAGTAGAAAAATGTTACTACATAATGAACCGGGATGGCACGCATCAGGTTGCGCGTGATCTATGTCAACAACTAGACCCTAACGCCCTGGTGTTGTCCATCAACTCGCAAGAAGAGCAAGACTTTGTCGAAACACTTGTAATCAAACAAATACCCTATGGATTGGCTGATAGCGTATGGCTGGGCCTCGAGTACGGGTACTCAGACGGCTGGAGCGGTCGACGGGATGTACGGGACCTGAAGTGGCGCTGGGAAGACGGGAGGGAAAGTAACTTTAGTCGATACGCCCGGGGCTGGGCTACTGCTTGGGCTGATGACGATGGTAAGGGCAGACCCTGGGGTGACTGTACCCGTATGTCTGTAAGGGGATCGACAGCTGGCTTATGGTATAGCAGTAGTTGTCGATCAGTGTTTGGCATTATATGTCTGATAAGCGCTGTTAATAATAATGATGGTCATTTTTAGGTATTAATTAAGCATGGTATTAAATTTTTAATAGATAAATTAAAATAATCTTTAAATATTAATTGGCTTAATGAGTTTTTTGTTTATAGCATTATATTATTATTTTAATTGTTAATAATTATTAATAGCATTTTAATAAATTTAATGTGATTAGTAAAACATATATGAAAACAACTAATGTAATGTTTATATTTAATTGTTTTGAACAATACAAAAGTAAACTCTATATTAATTGATCGGGCATCAAATGTACTAAATAGTTACAAGGTTTTTGGTTAATTGATTATTTAGTGCATATCTAATTTAATATTTATATTTGCCAAAATTTTAAATAATTTATCGTTTATTTCATTCAAGTCAAATAAAACTAAAACATGAATCTAAAAACAAACCTACCTGCTCATTTAACAACAAACTCAGCCGGTGAACAATTATACCTCATAGGATTGTATCCATGGAAAAAGAATGATGATACCAAAAGGCATTGGATAGATAATCCAATTTTAATGGCAATAATCCTTATATTATTTACCATACGATCAGCGATAACACTAACGTTTGAGCGCAAAAATCGGGAACTATTTGTTATCTATGGCGACGGGCCATACCTTTTAGGTACGACACATCACCTGAACATTGCGTTAACTCTATGGACACTGACTAACCTAATGTATCAATTCATATATTATTACAACTATAAACATGGTGTTAAAGCCAAATTTTTGCGCCTATTTGATATGTTATCAGGATTGATTAGCCCAGCAGAAGTTTATATAAATAATGCTTCTTATGCGCTAAAGTTGGCCAAAATGTCTCAAAATTTATTTACTGTATGCCGAGTAACAGTCAATCGTATAATGCCCTTGTTAGGTTTTATATGGCTATCGACATATGTGTATAAATGTACATTGTTCGAGACACTGACCTATGGTGTAATACATAGCATTCTGACCGGTTTGGCCGCATATTACGCGTATAGCTTAAGTCTATACCAATTAACCTATTTGTTTATCATGTGTGATTATTTAAAACACAGAATCAAATTGATTAATTACCAATTAATGGGAACAAAAGGCAAAAAACATGGTCAAAAATTTAATTCAGAATTTATTTACAAAACTATTTGTTCATTACATTCATTGTATACCGAAATTAATGAATATAACGACACGTATTGGTCAAAATATTTTCTGGTTGTTTGGGTCTTATTGGGCAACGTAGGCACGTTTGGCGTATATGTAATGCTGTTTCGAGCTAGAACAATGGATGTTATATCAAAATTATTATTTGGAATGGGAATTAGTACAGCATTTATACTCTTCCTATGTAATTTATTAATCGTATCTAGCGTAAATAACGAAATTACATCTAGTATAAAGTTACTTTTTCGCGCAAACGTTATGTTTAATTTAACTGGATCGCGTTTAAATGTAACTCGATGTAGAATTAAAGTAATTTTGATTATATTTAACTTATTACTTATAAATCATATAATAATGTATTTGTGATTTTTATATAGTTATTATCATTAGTCGGATGTTTATATGCAAATAAAGTTGGCTTTTGGTGTTGGAAATTATTTCGCATAAATTATTTTCGCTGTTCAGAGGTTTGAGTTTTTTAAATATATATTTCAGAATTTTAATTAACATGATATTGTTTTATGTTTTTTATATTGTAGATACTTGGATTCTTGGCCATGGTATTTTTGAAACTATTTGAAATATAAAACACAATTAGGAAAAAAGGAAAAAATTATTAATTTAAAGACTGTAATTATAGCATGTTTGATTAAGATAATATTCTTTTAATGTAATGTTTATTTATACTGAACTAGAAAATCCCGTCAATAAAAATTATATTATTTATAATTTTTCATTTTGTTTAATCATAATAAGAATAATAATACCAAGAATATTAAAATTAAATACCAATGAATTTACTAAAAAAAATTGTTATAATATATTAAATAATTATTATTGATGTTTATTATAAAATAAATAATTATACATTTGACAATTGTCTTGCATCTTATAATTATTTGAAATTAATCATTAAAATAATTATTATATTTAATAACAATTTACATTAGTAAATTTTGTAACAACTTTAAATAATCAGGTAATTTTAGATCTTTTAAATACTATTATTTTATAAATAATTATTTTTCTAAAAAATAAATTATATCTAATTTTTAGGGCCCTAAGTTAATAAATGAATTTATAATGTATTTCAATGCAATTTTTATTCTTTCAACTAATTTATGTTGTAAACCAAATACATTTATACAGCATTTTTAACAACATCAATTAACTAATTAGTTACTTATATATATTACGATAATTATTATTTTTGGGTACAATTTTAATAATATATAATTTTTCTAATATTTTTAACATAATCTTTCAACTTAATTTTCTATAGATCATCATTGTTATAATATTTAAGATAAAACCTGTACTTTTAATAAACTTGATTACTTTGATAAAAGGTTTATATTTTAGCAAATTTATGTTTTGTGATTTCCATCCAATTTGTGAACAATACATTTGCCGCTAATTAATTGTTTAGATAAAAAATTAAAATAAAATTTTTGTATATATTATATCAATATTGTATTAGTAAAAAAATGCAGCAACACCGTCAACCACCATGATCAGTTGCGATCAGTTTTTACATAGACTGATCTGTCGAATGCGTTCAATCGTCAAATTGCGGATCTCCTGAGTGGACAAAACCAACTCGAAGTCCCTTTCGATCGCATGTTTCGTCTCAACGGTTAGCAGCGAATCCATTCCCAGTTCCGACAGACGGGTCTTCGCGTCGAACGCCTCCAAGTCTTTGTGGCCTAATATACGGCACACTGTTGTCAACAGATTGTGCCCATCGGTCGCCGAATCACATGTTTTGCGTGTTTTCTCGTCTCTAAACAAAACACTGGAACAGATGGTGACTCCGGACTCAAGCAACTCATCCAACGTCTGTAGGCATGAGTGCNATATTGTATTAGTAAAAAAATGCAGCAACACCGTCAACCACCATGATCAGTTGCGATCAGTTTTTACATAGACTGATCTGTCGAATGCGTTCAATCGTCAAATTGCGGATCTCCTGAGTGGACAAAACCAACTCGAAGTCCCTTTCGATCGCATGTTTCGTCTCAACGGTTAGCAGCGAATCCATTCCCAGTTCCGACAGACGGGTCGTCGCGTCGAACGCCTCCAAGTCTTTGTGGCCTAATATACGGCACACTGTTGTCAACAGATTGTGCCCATCGGTCGCCGAATCACATGTTTTGCGTGTTTTCTCCGCTCTAAACAAAACACTGGAACAGATGGTGACTCCGGACTCAAGCAACTCATCCAATGTCTGTAGCGTACTCACGTACGCGACGCGAGCGTAACGCGGGTAAAGGGTCAGTAACCGCCACTATAACAGCCGGTATATTGGCTGCAGTGGCTGCCCTGGGGTAACCTGCCGGTCTCGGCCGTTTGGCAGGGCTCGTCTCGCTTCGCACAGTCTCTCCATCGCGGCGTTAGTGAAGCCGTAATTGCTTTGACCGGCGCTTCCCTGAGACGTGACCGCCGATGAAAACACCACAAAGTGGTCCAAATGTGGACACATTTGTCGCGACATGCGATCCAAATGTGCCAATGGTTTGGATTTAGACTCAAACACTTTGTCAAACGACTCGATCGACTGATTCTCCAAAAGGCAGTCACTTATCACTAATGATAAGTGAAATATACCGCCGATTGGACCCAATTTCATGGCATCGCGTTCGCCACCAATCGGTTGAGTCCACACAACTATCAGTTGCGGTCACAGAAACTTTATGAACTCGGCGCTCATGACTATGCCGACAAAGCCTGGGCTAGAGCTGCACTGGTGTTTGGAGACGCGGGGGGAGAGCTGGTAGGTTAGCTATTAGAGATTTGGGTTTCCTCCCAAACCACCGGTCATTATATATGTCTTGTGAGAGAGGAATACAGTGCGAGGAATGGCCGCTATTTTTATCGCATTCAAATGAAGGGTGTGTTTGACGGGCTCTTCGTCTCGGATTTTGACCATAACTTTGCCCACGTGTTGACCGCTGGCCATAAAACGAAAGGCCTGTTCGCACCGGTTGTGCTCATAAACCGTACGGTTTAGGGGCCGCACAACACCGGCGCCGATGCCCGCGTTTATTAGTTCCCATACCCTCTGCCTATCCCTCAACATTGTGGGCGATGTCTTGTCGTCAACCATAAGCAGGGCATCAAATTGTATGCCTTCGAAGGTCTTGTTTCGCAACAAATCAGTCACATCTGGAGAGAGAGAGAGAGAGAGAGAGAGATTATTAAAAATTATTATAATTAAAACAATACTCAAAAGCGAGTCTTTGACGAAATCATATTTGCCGATCTCAAGGAAGCGTCCATTTGTGGCCAAACACTCCAAACTTGCGAACAGTTTCTCGTCGGACAGGGAGTTGAGGACCACATCGACGCCCGCGCCGTCCGTTTCGGTCATGACGTGACGCCGAAAAGCGGTGGCGTCTCGGGATGTGCTGAAACACTGGGCGCCCAAAGTCGGGAACAACTCCCGAAGGAACCGGCGTTTGGCGTCGGAGCCAACGGTTATCAATAGCCGACAGCCCAGACTCAGGCATATTCTGATGGCCGCCTGACCCACACCACCGCTACCCGAATGGATCAACACTGTCTCGTTTGGCCGCAATTTGCCCCTAATTATGAGCGCGTAATACGCTGTGCCGTAAACGCAGGGAACAGTAGCCGCCTCTTCCATCGACCAGTGGTCGGGAATCGGCCACAAAAAGTGCGTTTTTTTGACGACACAAGTGGTGGCCAACGCTTTGGACAAAACCATTCCCATCACTCGATTCCGGTTCTCATCCCTTCCCGCAAATTCCGACCCAATCAGGCATTCGGTCTCTCCGTCCGGAGCTGTCAATTGAAGTCGACCTAAAAATATTGCCAAAAAATTAGTTATTATTTAGCATTAGATGCGGTGATTGTGTGAAACCGATTGACTGACTCACCCGTCGCTAACATTATATCTCTGAAATTAAGGGCCGAATAGTAGATATTAACCAACTTTTCGCCGCTCTTTCGGTTTAGCGGCCAATACTTGTGCTGACATTCAAACCATTGAAACGAAGACAAGTCGCCTCTGTTTTGCTGATTGAGAAAACAGTGTTCACTGTCCACAGTCTGGCGCCGTTCCGGCAGCTCATTGAGCACGTAATGACCGACTTTGCCATCTCTTAACACATTTATGGCCAAATTATTTTTGATAACATCGTTTAACATGGTATTAGTTTTGTCCAATACTATACAATCGGCGTTATTTGTGTCCATTATTTGCAGCGCTCGGACCCGATGCCCGTTCGGCTCCGTTCGTACGCATTTGATGAAACCCAACAGACCCTCAGCCGACCCGTTGGCCACTAACCATATACTCTGGTCCACGGGTTTGTCGCCAATACTACTGAACTCGTGTTGAAAACTATGCAACCATTTGTTATAATTGTTGGTAAATTCAATGAATATCTGTCTCTCAATGGATGGTTCGCTGATTATCTTGCGATACAACAGGGAGTGAACGGAACAGCTGTCGGTATTGCGCGAAACCAAACGAAAGCCCACACTATTGACGGCATTCATGACCGTCTCGTCCGCACTGCTGGCCATCTGGTCGTACGGTTTGAGCGCCAACTGATTCCGCGTGTGTTTTGCGGCACAACAACTCAATTGACTTTTTAATACAATTAATACGAAACCACAATCAGTAAGCCTTTGCCAAAAACTCAAAAATAACGCATTTATGTCTACGTTTTGGGTCTCATTGGCTGTTAAATTGCATAGACTTTGATCCTTATAGACAATCAAATCAATACTGTTGTCATTCACATCACATCCCAGACGTGAATCGTTGAGAGTATAAGTGTTTGAATACAAGTTTTTGTCCTCTTCTTTGAAGCCAATAGTACTGCCAATGAATACGAAGTTAACGTCGAGACTGTACTGCAATATATCTATCGCCGACATAACTGTGCCATACATTGGCGCTGAGCCCGCATTCACTTCCACAATATTCACGCGATTACCACTCAATTCGTTGAGATTTTCAGCAAATATTGTGAGTTGAGAGCGAAGAAAGTTTCGCTCACCACATGATAAACACCACATGTCTTTATCCAACTATAAGTTATACATATTATAAAAGTTATATCATTATTTAAATGTTGTTAATATTGTTATACAATACCTGCGATTCGTTTAATATTTGTTTTTGTAAATCCATGTTTATGTCACCAATTGATTGCCCGCCACTAATAGTATCGGTGATTGTATTTATGGCTGAGCACTCGTCAAACGCCGCAAACTCATAGCGCCTGAGCGCCGGCTTTTGTGACTTGACATTCCTGTGCAGAGCACTGGTCCGCACTCCACGCATCTCCAGTCCCGCCGTCACCGCTATATTCAGGTGCGGATTAATTACTGTCCGCCTCTCGACACCCGATCCGCCGAACAGACGCTTCGGATCGCACCGGAGCTCATCGATGGCCACCGGAACCAACAATTGCTTCGATCGCGTCATTAAATTACACGTTTGTAACAAACAGTCGCAAAATGTGACCCAATTCTGGCGCCACTCAATACCCGCCGATAAGTACGTGTCGTGAATCTCGTGGGCGTCGGTTATGCAACGAAAACTCGGGCCGTAATTATAGCCCCGAGTTCTCAACACTTTGTACACGTCTTTACTTTGCAACCAAATGGGCGTTTCATCGCTCGTGTCGGCCATCGCTTGTATTNTCTCGTTTGGCCGCAATTTACCCCTAATTATGAGCGCGTAATACGCTGTGCCGTAAACGCAGGGAACAGTAGCCGCCTCTTCCATCGACCAGTGGTCGGGAATCGGCCACAAAAAGTGCGTTTTTTTGACGACACAAGTGGTGGCCAACGCTTTGGACAAAACCATTCCCATCACTCGATTCGTGTTCTCATCCCTTCCCGCAAATTCCGATCCAATCAAGCATTCGCTCTCACCGTCCGGAGCTGTCAATTGAAGTCGACCTAAAATATGGCCAAAAAATTAGTTATTATTCAGCATTAGATGCGGTGATTGTGTGAAACCGATTGACTGACTCACCCGTCGCTAACATTATATCTCTGAAATTGAGGGCCGAATAGTAGATATTAACCAACTTTTCGCCGCTCTTTCGGTTTAGCGGCCAATACTTGTGCTGACATTCAAACCATCGAAACGAAGACAAGTCGCCTCTGTTTTGCTGATTGAGAAAACAGTGTTCACTGTCCACAGTCTGGCGCCGTTCCGGCAGCTCATTGAGTACGTAATGACCCAATTTGCCATCTCTTAACACATTTATGGCCAAATTATTTTTGATAACATCGTTTAACATGGTATTAGTTTTGTCCAATACTATACAATCGGCGTTATTTGTATCCATTATTTGCAGCGCTCGGACCCGATGCCCGTTCGGCTCAGTTCGTACGCATTTGATGAAACCCAACAGACCCTCAGCCAACCCGTTGGCCACTAACCATATACTCTGGTCCGCGGGTTTGTCGCCAATACTACTGAACTCTTGTTGAAAACTATGCAACCATTGGTTATAATCGTTGGTAAATTCAATGAATATCTGTCTCTCAATGGATGGTTCGCTGATTATCTTGCGATACAACAGGGAGTGAACGGAACAGCTGTCGGTATTGCGCGAAACCAAACGAAAGCCCACACTATTGACGGCATTCATGACCGTCGCGTCCGCACTGCTGGCCATCTGGTCGTACGGTTTGAGCGCCAACTGATTCCGCGTGTGTTTTGCGGCACAACAACTCAATTGACTTTTTAATACAATTAATACGAAACCACAATCAGTAAGCTTTTGCCAAAAACTCAAAAATAACGCATTTATGTCTACGTTTTGGGTCTCATTGGCTGTTAAATTGCATAGACTTTGATCCTTATAGACAATCAGATCAATACTGTTGTCATTCACATCACATCCCAGACGTGAATCGTTGAGAGTATAAGTATTTGAATACAAGTGTTTGTCCTCTTCGTTGAAGCCAATCGTAATGCCAATGAATACAAAGTGAATGTCGAGACTGTATTGCAATATATCTATCGCCGACATAACTGTGCCATACATTGGCGCTGAGCCCGCATTCACTTCCACAATATTCACGCGATTACCACTCAATTCGTTGAGATTTTCAGCAAATATTGTGAGTTGAGAGC